TATTTCATTACAAAAATTAAGCTCTGGTGACTTCTGTAGAATCTTTAATAGTATCAATAATAAGGGCAAGTCTGTAATTCCACCTCTTTTGTATGGTTCAGACTTTGTCACCTCACTTAAAGACAAAGCTGAATTGATTGCTAAGAACTTTTCATCAATATCATCTCTTGATTCTGCTAGTTGCATTCTTCCTGATAGAGCCGTCAAACAGGTTGATACATTGCTTGACATCCGTATCACTCCAGCTTCTGTATCTAAAGTAATTTCCTGCTTAGACTCTTCTACAGCTTGCGGCCTGGACAACATACCTGCTATAGTCTTGCAGAAGTGTTCTCCGGAGCTGCCGTCTATCCTTTCAAAACTATTCAACAAGTGCTTATTAGAGTCTTGTTTTCCAGCGTGCCGGAAAGCAGCATCTGTTATCCTTATTTTAAAAAATTCTGGAGAGCGATCTGATTTGTCTAACTACCGTCCCATTAGTCTTCTTCTTATCATAACCAAGGTTTTTGAATCTTTAATTAACAAACACTTAATCTCTCATCTTGAATCTAATAACTTACTTTCTGATCATCAATATGGATTTCAATCTTCTCGTTTTAAGGCTGATTTGCTAACAGTAATAACCGATAGGTTTTATCGTGCATTAGATAAGGGTGGAGCGGTTAAGGCCATCACTCTTGACATTTCTAAAGCGTTTGATAAAGTTTAGCATACTGGTCTTCTCCATAAACTTTCTTCTTATGGTGTATCTGGAAGCATCTTTAAGATTATTGAATCCTTTCTTTCCAATCGTAGTATAAAAGTTGTCCTTGATATACAGCACTTTTCTTCTTATTCTGTAACCTCAGGGGTTCCTCAAGGTTCAATCCTTGGCCCTATACTCTTTTTAATTTACATTAACGATCTTCCAGATATTCTCACTTTAAAGGTGGTATTGTTCGCTGATGATACTACCATTTATTCTTGTCACGATAAGAAGCCAACTCCCTCTGATTGATAGCAGGGGGCATTTGAGCTTGAAAAAGATCTCACTTCTGCTACAGCATGGGGCTCACAGTGGCTGGTGAACTTTAATTCAGATGAAACTCAATTTTTTTCAGCCTATCATCATCGCAATAATTTAGACCTTTCTATATTTATGAACAGTAATGTACTCGATGTAATGTACCCTTTATCTTCTAGGATTAACTCTTACTTCTGATCTTTCTTGGAAACCATATATATCAAATCCATTGCAAAATTAGCATCTGCTAAAGTTGCAACTCTTCATCGAGCTCAACACTTTCTTACTCTGGATTCTATTCTCTATCTCTATAAATCTCAAATCCGGCCTTGTATGGAATACTGTTGCCATATCTGGGGCGGATCATCTAATGATGCTCTTTCTCTTTTAGACAAGGTGCAAAAACGCATTGTAAACATAGTTGGACCTGCTCTTGCAGCCAACTTTCAACCTTTGTCACATTTTCGTAATGTCGCATCTCTTTCTCTTTTCTACAAATACTATAATGGGCGCTGCTCTAAAGATTTAGTGTCTCTTGTGCCATCTACTAAAATTCATTCTCGTGGTACTCGTCATTCATTTAAGTCTCATCCTTTTTCTGTTACTGTTCCTAAGTGCTCCAAAAACTCTTATTCGTCTAGTTTTTTTCCTCAAACATCAGTTCTTTGGAATTCGCTTCCTTCATCTTGCTTTCCTGATTCATATAATTTGCAATCTTTTAAGTCGTCTGTCAATCGTTATCTTGCTCTACAATCTCTATCTTTTCTCTTCCAGTAACTTCAACACTAACTAGTGGTTGCTTGCAGCCTTGTTGGAAGCAAAGATGTTTAAAAAAAAAAAATGTGTTTTATATGATAAAATAATACTGGGTTTATAAATTTTTTGCATAAAAAATATTTTTAGGAGTGCCTTAAGACCCTTTAATGAACATTTAATGGGTCTCTAAAATTAATATATAAAAAAAAACTTTCAAAAGTGTGTCTTGTTGAGTTCCAAATAAAGCGAAATTATTTAGAAATTTGAAAAATAATCATTTTATATAAAACATCAATTATAATCAAAAAATTGTGTAAAAATGCGCTTATTTAATTTTTAGTTAAAGATTTCAATTAGTAAAATCTAAAATAATAATTTTTTTATAAAATGGTTATTATTTTTGAAACTTTTATATAATTTCGCTGCTTTAAAATTCTTAAAATGTTAATATTTTCTATTAACATAATAATTTAGTTAATTTTATAGGAAAATCAAGTGGCATCTAAATCTAGTGGCAGTGGTCTGAACCTACCAGCGTTTTCTTGATTAAAATAAATATTATCAATGAAAATTAAAATAATAAATAATATCAAATTTATGTTTTTATTACTAGTTTTTTTTTGGAAATTTAAGAATTGAAATTATTTATTCTTAATTGAAATTAATTATTCTTAATTGAGCATGTTTAAAAGCTTGTTACCTTTTCACAAGCATCTGCTTCAGATTGACATTTTGGAATAAACTCATCTATAATTTTGTTTAGGTAAAGTTGGCGAAGATTATGAGCTATTTTGCTTCCATATTCTACTTTTAATTTTGGACGTGTAAATGACTCTGAGTTAATCACTGGAACAACTGAAACATGAGCTTGGCGCTTTTTACCAAGATAAATCCCTGTTTCTGCGGTATATTTATCAACATCTATTGCAGAAGTTGTCTAAAAGATAAAAATAAAGTTTAAAAGGTATGAATTCAGCAGCAGTTTAAACTTTTGCAAATTTATACTTCAATACTCAATTATCTGTTAAAAAGGCAACAACTCAACAATTGATGGAGAGATCTTTGTTGTGGATATTAGAGCTGCAGATGGAGAGATCTTTGTTACATTGGTGGATATCAGAGCTCCAGATTTTGAAACCTATAAACCAATTACAGAACAATTTCATTACTATGCTAACATTTGCAACCTTTTATGTTGAATAGCATAATATTTTTATTAAATAAAATTAAATTATTATGTTAAATAACATAATAATTTTGTATTTTTAAAAAAAAAGAGGATAAAAAAAAACAGCAATAAAAAAAGCAAAAACAAAAACCAAACAATTGTTACTGTTATCAATAAACAAAATTAATTAAACATTACTCTTATTATATATATATATATATATATATATATATATATATATATATATATATATATATATATATATATATATATATATATATATATATATATGTATATGTATATGTATATGTATATGTATATGTATATGTATATGTATATGTATATGTATATGTATATGTGTATGTATATATATATATATATATATATATATATATATATACATACACATATACATATACATATACATATACATATAAATATATATATATATATATATATATATATATATATATATATATATGTATATGTATATGTATATGTATATGTATATGTATATGTATATGTATATATATATATATATATATATATATATATATATATATATATATATATATATATATATATATATATATATATATATATATATATATATATATATATATATATATACAGTGTTGGCGAAAAGTATTGCAACTTTTTAAAAAAACACACATTAAACAAATACACAAGAGTATTATTAAAAGAAGTGTTCATATATAAATATCTAGTACTTAGAAGGCTGTCCATGGTTTTTCAACACACATTTGATACAGTTTGGCATCGACTGAACCAGTTTTTGACAAAAATCCAGGGTGATTTCGGTGCACCACACCTTCTTAATGTCACTGTCCAGAGATTTTTAATAAGATTCAAATCTGGACTGTTGCCTAGCCAGTCCAGAACTTAAATCCCATTGTCAGTTTTTTACAACTCGACTAGTATGGCATGGTGCCGAGTCTTGTTGAAACAGTTCACAACAATGCAATCGCATGGCTAGGGGTAATTTTGAATTTAAAATCTTTAGGTATTTAACGGAGTTTACCATCTGTTTCGCTGGTATAAAGTATAGAGACCCTCGCCCCATTGCTGAAAAACATCCCCAAACCATAATTTGGGGTGAATGTTTATCTGTCGGCAAGGTGTAACGAATATCATCTCGAGAATCAACTGGACAGATCCAAACTGCAGAAATGTAGTTTGGTTGGAAAACAACACCTTGGACCATCTTTCTGCATTCCAGTCCTTATATTTATGACAAAACTGAACTCTTTTCTGTCGCTGCTGCTTAGATAGCTGAGGTTTGCAGGATGGACATCGAGCCCTTAAACCAAACGAACACAGTCGGTCACGTATTGTTCGTGACGTCATAATTTTATGTTTGTGTGCTGCTGTTTGGTTTTATCATTTTTGTATGAATATATGATATATAAACATCAAATTAATTTCGAATTTTATAAAAATATTAAATTTAGAAAAGTTGCAATACTTTTCGCGAACACTGTATATATATATATATATATATATATATATATATATATATATATATATATATATATATATATATATATATATATATATATATATATATATATGCATTAATAAAAAGTAACCTCTGTCTTTGAATGAGCAATTCGTTTGTTTTTAACAAAATTTTGAGGAATATTACTAGTCAAGTTAAAATCATCTTTTTGTTCACTTTCAGAATCAAACTTTCCATCTAAGAGTTTTTTCTTGAATGAAGAAGATTCGCTTTTTTCAGCATTTGATTTCCTTTTTCTTTTTTTTAAATCTTGGATTTCTTCAGTTGCAAAAAATGAAACATCTGATAGTTTTTTAATGCTTTTTGATATAATAGTATTTTCATTTTTGTTATCCATATTTTTAAGAAAAGAAGAGGAATCTGTTTTCAATCCAGATGAATGATCATCCACAAATCCTGAACAGTCAGGATCGTCACATTCACAAACTTTTTTTGTAGGTATTTGAATCAGTGTCTGTGTAATGTCTTCTAAGCAATTAACTTTTTTATCATAATTTAAAGTTTTGTTATAGAATGCTTCTGTTAAACTGTTTTTTTTAATTTTATTTTCCTCATCTATTTCTGCTAAAGTCTTCTGAAGTTCGCGCTCCTCCTAAATCCAAAAAATACTTCACGTAAATGAAATATAGATTGCAAGTTTTGCATTATAAATATACAGCCAATAATAAACACCCTAGGGTGTAGAACATTTGCACACTTTGTTAGTAGCAACAAATGCAACTAAACATTTAACCTGCAATAAACACTCTAGGGTGTAAACATTCAACCTGCAACAAACACCCTAGGGTATAAAACATTGAACCTGCTTTCTCTGAGCATAAGCAAACAATTTAGATGGCGATATATTCTTTACTATTTTCATCACTTCATCATTATCATCGTCTTCATAATTATGTTCATTTAACACAGACGTTAAAGGCTTATTTACATCATCAGTGCCCTCTGTAAATAATGACAAATTGATTTAATTGCTTTTTTAATTTTTACATTTTTTTTTTAATTTCAAAACTTTTTTAAATATTTTAGTTTAACTACTTTCTTAAAAAATAAATTTTTTTATCACAAACAATTGCAAAAATACAAACGATTTTACTTTTAAATAAAGTTTAAACCTTTATGGAATTGAGGGCTACAATCTTCTTTGATAACTTTGTGTTCTTTGTTCACTCGTTGTTTTTCATTTATTTGTTGTTCTTCTATAAATACAATTTTTTTTTGTAATTGAATCCTTGGGAATTAATTTAACAGGGGAACTTAACCTTAACCCTAATATAATGTATTATTACCCTAACATAATGTATTATTACCCTAACATAATGTAACCAAAACAGAAACAAAACAAAAAGGACTTGATCTTAATTAAAATTTGTTTAAAAAAATAATGCAAAACATAAAAATGATGTAAAACATAAAAATGATGTTAAACATAAAAATGATGTAAAACATAAAACATTAGGAGGAACCTGTGTACCTAACATAAAACATTAAGAGGGATTTGTATACTTAACACAAAACATTAGGAGAGAAATGTGTATTTAACAGAAAACATTAGGAGGGAACAGCGTGCCTAACACAAAACTTTTGGAGGATGTGTGCTTAAGACCACTTTATATTTAGCCCACTTTAATTTAAATAAGATTTAGTTCAATGTTTTGATACTCAATTAGTGATTGGTGAAATCAATTTCTATGTTTTCATTTAAAAGTCTCAAAAGAGGTAGCTGTATTAAGTTATATCTAGAAAATGCTTAGCCTGAAAAAAATAATATTTCAGTTTTTTTTCTTTTAAAAACAAACATCAATTAAAATAATTTTCTTTAAGTTTTAGTGTTTAATAATCTTTTTAACATTTAGTAACTATAGTTACTAAATATAATATGTATACTAAAAATATAATATGTAATAAAAATAATCTGAAATGGAAAGATCGCATCGCAACAATAACCAATAAAGCTTACTTAAAACTAGGTACACTAAAGTGGACATTTAAATTCAGTTCAACAGAATTACTTAACTATTTAACAATTTACTAACCTATATACAACTTATGCTAGACCTGAATTAAATTTTGCGCACCAGTTTAGAATCCACACTTGAAAAATGAAATAAAAAACTTGAAAAGGTTTAGCAAAGAGCTACAAAGTTTGTACCAGGTCTCAAATACAATTCATATGAAAAAATATTTACCAAGCTTTAGGTTAGAAAGTCTCAAATTCAAAACTATTAGAGATCTCCTCTTAATTATATTAACTACTGACCTTACGGCGTCTTAAGTTGGCAATTTCTTGCCGACCTCAGAATTTTTTAAACATAATTTTATTTGCTATTATAAATAAATTAAAAACAGTTAAGCAAACGCTTTATTTAAATTTCAAATAAAATGAAAATAAAATTGATAAAGCAAATGTTGTATTTAAATAATAAGTAAAGTTATCAAAATAAAAACAAAAAAACATTTTTATTAAATTTTAAATATAAAATAATTAAAATAAAAAGCGGTAAAACAAATGTTTTATTAAAATTCTAAATAAAATAGTTAAAATTCAATGGAAAAAATAAGTTTTATTAAAATTCTAAATAAAATAATTAAAATTAAAATAGCAAAACTTTTTTTATAAATTCTGAACAAATTGCTTTAAAAACACATTAAAACAAAGGTTTTATTTAATTAAATAAAACATTGGATTTAACATGTTATTTAAATGAATTTGTTTTTATTTTAGTTATTTTATAATAGAGTTCAATTAAATTTTAAATAAAATAATAAGATATAATTTAACTATTTATTTGGTAAATGGTTTCCATATGACACCTGTTGCTGAAGAAATTTAGCGGTAACTGTGTTTAGTAAACTCTGTACTCTTTGTGTGGTTCTCCTATGATATTTGAAGATAGACCTTTTGAAGTTTAAGAAAAAGTTTTTGAGTTTGGATGACACTAGTTTACTTTGTTTAAAATAATTTTAAAATATTAGATTACTTACTTATATTTATATTAAAAATAAAACTAAAGGTTTAATATTTAAGCTTTAGAACTTTCAAGAACCTTATCTGTCCCAAACCCCTATGTGTTGTTATGAAATGCCTACCCACTTATGTTATGTTGCTTACAATTGTGATTTTTTGGTTAACATTTTTCCTTTTTTAGAATCAATAATGGAATAATGTTCCTATTATTTATTTTATTTCTTTATAACATTTTCTTTTTCTTTTTTATAAATGGTTATTATAATTGAGTATATACATATTAGAGACTAAAACTTAGATTCATTTAAAAAAACAACCAATGACAACAAACAAAATGACCAACCTTTAGCATGCTTGAAGTGACAATATGGTCGATGACATAATCCATGTTGATAAAATGGACAAACAGCATTTCGAAAATAACCTTTCGATGGAAACATCTTTACTTTCTATACTAATTTTCTAAGAAAATTTCTTTTTAAAAGAATAAAAATATATTAAAAACACTTTGAATTTTAAATTTTAAAATAATTTAGATTAGCATTTGTTTAAACAAAATATACAGCATAAAAGGCAACAATACATATATATATATATATATATATATATATATATATATATATATATATATATATATATATATATATATATATATATAATATATATATATAAAATATTTATATATATATATATATATATATATATATATATATATATATATATATATATATATATATATATATATATATAATATATATATATAAAATATTTATATATATATATATATATATATATATATATATATATATATATATATATATATATATATATATATATATATATATATATATATATATATATATATATATATATATATATATATATACATATATTTATATATATAGTAAAGAAAAAGTGATTATAAAAATAAAGCTTTAAATTTCAAAAAAAAATTGTACATAAAGAATTTTAAATTTTTAACTTAAAAATAAATTTCTTTATACAACTTGACTTATACAATGTTATGTTACAAGGTTCCCCCTGTTTTTGTAGAAACTATTTGGTTTCCGGTTCTCTCTGGAAATTTTATTAAAGTTTGAATTTGTTTCTATAACAATTGCATCATAGCATTGAAAACATTTTTAATATATAAAAATATGTATTATATATGCTCATGTAATATATAATACATATTTTTATATATTAAAAATATGTATATATATATATATATATATATATATATATATATATATATATATATATATATATATATATATATATATATATATATATATATACAACACTGCAAAAAAATAAAGTACCTAATAATAATGACATATTGAAATATGCATGAGAGTTACTGTTTCGGCAGGCAGTAACTAGGTATGAAAATAAATAGGTATGAAAAAGAAAAACATACAGTAAAAAAATACACCAAAATAATTTTTTCATTTTTATTTATTTTTTTTAATGAAAATAAAATTGGGAGTTAGGGGAGACCGGGGTTGGTTGCAACAGGGGTAAGATGCAACAATGCGTTTTAAAGAATAATTTTTACATATTATTTTTCAATTTTTTTACATTATATAACTATAATTATGACACGCAAGTTATAAAAAACTTATAGTAATAAACTTAAAAATTTAAAAGTTATTGATAATTGTTTTTTTTCTATATAAATTTCTAATTTTCGTTTCAATGTTTTTTTGGGTTTTACAAAAAACTAAGAAGTATATGACAATAATAAAATAATAGTAAGTTAAAAAAATCTTTTTCAAACACAAAAAGTAAAAAAAAATAGATTTTTTTAATATGGCTAATTGTATGCATTGATTAGAGTGATCATGATGCCTACGGGGTAAGTTGCATCAAATTGCTCGGGGTAAGTTGAATCACAAAAGAACTGCGGACTTTATTAATTTTACGCACTTTTCTAAATAATCGACTTTTTTTTAATAACAAGACAGCAAAGAAGTTTTTGAAAAAAAATTATAATTTTAAAGATAAGACTATGTAACGTACATATGTATGTTATATTTATAAAGCATATGTATATATGTCTAATAATATAAAAGATAAGTTTATATTCTATGTTTATATTTATATTCGAGGATTATATAATCCTCGAATATAAATATAAACATAGAATATAAACTTATCTTTTATATTCAAAGACATATATATATATATATATATATATATATATATATATATATATATATATATATATATATATATATATATATATGTATATATATATATATATATACATACATATATATATATATACATATATATATATATATATATATATATATACAGTGTGTATATATATATATATACAGTGTGTATATATATATACAGTGTGTATATATATATATATACAGTATATATATATATATATATATATATACAATGTATATATATATATATATATATATATATATATATATATATATATATATATATATATATATATATATATATATATACATTTATATATATACATTTATATACATACATACGTAAAAGTTATAATTACATTATTAAAATATTATTATTATTAAGTACATACTTAAAACATTAATAGGTATATAAATAAATGTAGCAATTTAGACTAAATTATATAAAATGATTTTTGTAATGTGTTTTTTTATTGTTATGTTATTTAGAGGTTTAATAAAAATTGTAAATGCGAACTTACAAGAGAAAAACTGAAAAAGGACTTTATCCAAAAGAAGTAGTAATAGAGGCAGCAAGCCACGTTATTGATGGAAGAGTAACATCAGTTCGTGCATCAGCAAAAAAGTTTGGAATCCACTACTCGACTCTTTCTCGTTATATAAAAAAAGTTAAAAAAGCTGTTGATATGGGAATGCCACTACCTTATCCTGGATATAAAAAGAATCAAGTTTTTACTTATGAACAAGAAATAGCTATTGCTTCATATATATCAATATGTTCTGATATCTATTTTGGATTATCACCATATGAAACAAGAAAGCTTGCATTTGAATGTGCAGTAAAGTATGGTATTATTTTTCCCAAATCGTGGTTAAAACATTCCATGGCTGGTCCTGATTGGATGAGAGGGTTTTTAAACCGACATCCAAGATTGTCTATCAGAACTCCAGAAGCAACAAGTCTTGCACGAGCAACTAGCTTTAATCGTGCTAATGTAGGTGTTTTTTTTCAAAAATTATCAGATGTTTTAGATAGGCATCATTTTTCTGCATCAAATATCTTTAATGTTGATGAGACTGGTATCACCACTGTGCAAAAACCAAACAAAATAATTGCTCGTAAAGGCATTAAGCAAGTGGGTGCATTAACTTCTCAAGAGCGAGGGACATTAGTGACAATGGTAATAGCCGTAAATGCATATGGCAATAGTGTGCCTCCAATGTTTCTTTTTCCAAGAAAGAAATTCTTTGATCACTTTATTCGTGATGGGCCAAATGGCTGCATTGGTGCTTCGAATGGATCAGGCTGGATGAATGAGGAGTGCTTTATTACTTACATAAACCACTTTATTCGACATGTAAAGCCATCAAAAGAAAGCCCTGTGTTATTACTTTTAGACAATCATCAATCTCATTTATCTATTCAATTAATAACATTGTGTAAAGATAATGGTATAGTTTTGCTTTCTTTCCCTCCTCATTGTTCGCATAAGTTGCAACCTCTAGATAGATCTGTATTCGGACCATTTAAAAAATGCTTAGCTAATGCACAAGACTCATGGATAAAAAGTAGTCCAGGGAAAACAATGAGTATATATGATTTACCAGGAATTGCAAAAATAGCATTACAACATTCTCTTACACAACAAAATATATCTTCTGGTTTTAGAGTGGCAGGAATATTGCCATATAATAAGGATATATTTTCAGATGCAGATTTTGCTCCATCATTTGTTACGGATCGTCCAGCAACCCAATCTAATGCAGCTATTGATATTAGTATATCAACTTCAACCTCAGATGCAATTCCATCTGCAGTTTCAAAATTTTCCCCTGAGGTTGTAAGACCGCTACCAAAAGCACGACCCAGGAAAGAAATACTCACTAGATCAAAGAGAAAGCATACAGAAGTACTCACAGATACACCAGTAAAACAGCGTCTTATGGCTGAAAAAGAAATTAGTTCTAGAAAGCGAAAATCTGCTAGTACTTCTGCATCAAAAAAAAAAACAATAAAAAAGTATAATTGTTGACTTGAAATGTAATGAAACTCTTTAGTTTCTTTAATGCTAGTTTGTTTTTTTATGAGCCTTTATTGCTTGGAAATTTTTTTTTTTGTTATCAAAGTTAGATTATTGTTTATTTTTATGAAAGTTGTGTTTTATATTATTTATAAAACTACTCTTGCATTTTTATAAATTGATTTAATGTTTACTGAATAACTAAAGGAATACTTTTTTAAAAAAACACTTAAAAGTTTAAATAATATATGAGCTTAAATAATAATCCTCATTATTTTCTTCAGTTTTTAAAGTCTTTGAATGTAAGCATTAGTTTACTAAACATGTCAGGTACATGTCAAGTCTAAAATACTACTTTTCTTTTCTTTTAATTATAATGTTTTGTTGCCAAATAGAAATTACAGATTAACTAGTAATTTTTATGTGAACTCTGCAAAGCTTATACTTTAAAAGTATTGTGTTGCAACTTGCCCCGTGCACTGTTGCAATTCGCCCCGGTGCGGGGTAAAATGCAACATATTTTTGTTTCACTATTGCGGAATAACTAAATTTGATATTTTATTTATCAATGTTGGATTAATACGTAACTTAAATCTATTTTATAACCCTGAAAAATAAAATCGAAAAAATATATATTTAAAGGGTATAAGTTACGTTTTTAAAATTTTGTTGCAACCAACCCCGGTCTCCCCTACCTTTCAAAAATTAAATTCTTCATAATATATTAGTACAATGCAGAACTAAATATGCATAAGTTTATAAACTAAAATACGACTAAAAAAGTTATAAAAGAGTAATCATACTACAAATGGCAAAACTGCTCTTCTGTGTTTTGGGTAATCGTCAAACTTGTTCAGATAAAACCTTAAAAAAATAAAAAAGATTTTAAACTTTTAAGGAAGAACAGAAAGAAAAAGAAGTTAAAAAAAAAATTATCTTACAGTGGTAATGTTTTATTGGCAACAATATAAAATAGCAACATATGATCTTTAAAAATGTTTACTAATATTTTATTAAATGCAACTTATGTGAGAGCTCACTATAGACTTGTGGAGATTTTTTAATCTTGTGTGAGATGAAAAGTGTACAATAGTCTTACAACCATAAGATTATCTAGTGTTATATATATTATATATATTTTTTTGTAACTCACCTCCCCAAGGCCGAGAAGCCCACTACAGATGAGGAGGCTACTTGTGGTTATAACCCTTTTTTAACTCTATAACTCCGAAACATGAACCTTGGCAAACAAGGCTGCTGCAAGGAGAAACAAGTTAAGCGCGGTTCTACTAGGGACATGGTGGGAATCGTACTTGGAGCTTATGAAATGAGCCCTCTACCACTACACCACTACCGCATATAATATACATTTTTATTAAGCCTGAATTAACGTTTAAGGTTGCCACCATGCGCTAGAATTAATAGAATTTATGTATTTTCATGTTTTTTTAAAATATAAAAATCTATATCTAATGTAATTTTTTATGCCATACATTTTAAGTTGGAAAACACTAAACAAACATATATATCAACAGAATTAATGGTAAGTTGAATATATATATATATATATATATATATATATATATATATATATATATATATATATATATATATATATATATATATTGTTAGTGAAATGTATAGTAATTAACAGGATTGTATGTGGCAAAATTGTGTTATAACATGAATTGACATCTCAACTCAATCCCCTCGTGCTACACTCCATTGACAAGTTGACTGTTGTTAAGTGTGGGTGTTTTATTACATTATTCAGGTTTTTGATGTATCCTTTTATTATAACATTAAACAAAGGTAATGGTTTTTACTAGAGTATATTATACCTAACTTTTATAGATTTTTATTTAAATTATAGTTGGCAGCCTTTTGTTAGCAAATACTTTTATGTCGTTGATTCCAAAAATGGGTTTAATGTTACATTTGTTTCCTTTGGATGAATTTAGTTTTATCTTAATATAGTTTAAACAACTACCTAATATGAATACAATTTATATGTATAATAAAAATATTATAATATAAATGAATAAAACATATATATACCTTAACTATATTGTTAGTATATGATTGATGATTGCTTTAGACACAGCTGAATCAACAATATCGAAAAGAAGACAACAGTCACAAAATATTTGGTTGATAGGAAATTCTATCGATGCTCTGAGCCAAACAATTATCCCTACTAATAGGGATATTTTGAAATCATTTTTTCACCTTAAGAACTGTGAATTTAAAACTGAGAAATCAATAAAATCAAATTCAATTGTTGCTGATGCAGTATGTGAAGCAGTTCTAGAAGTCTGGCATAAGACCGGTATTGAAATCTAAAGGAAAGATAAAATCAAAGAAAAAATAACTAAACTGCACGATGAATACAGGAACGTTCAAAAAAGAAAAGGCCAAAAATCAAATGAAACTAAACAAAATAATCTTGTAGCAATGCTTAAGAACTATTTTTTCATTGCCCACATCAACGCTGAAGAAACCATTCAGAAAGACAGACTACAGAACGATAAACATAAAAGTGAAGACATTAAGTTTTTAATCACAATCAAAGATAACAAAAGAGTAAAACTAGGAACACCAGATAATCAATACGCAAAGAAACTAAAAATGAAAGATGAACGAACCAAAACAGAGCAAGAGAGGGCAACATTGGTAAAAAAAGGCCTAAAGAATTCAAATATTAAACATTTAAGCTCTTCAGAAAGTGAAGCAAATCAAGATTGTGATTCATCCTCAAGTGAAGCAAGCATCAGTGAAATACTTGTAAAAAAAATGCTACTGCCAAAAAATCCATTCTTGAATCCAAACATTAGCCAAACTGCTGATAGGCTGAACTTATCCTTGGGATAAAGAACAGCATTTTTGGGAGCTATTGCGAAGGAAGAAGGTGCTTCCTGTAGTAATGTTACACTATCAAAGACAAGTTCCTATAATGCCAGTAAATATAATCGCCAAGATATTGCAAAAAACATCAAATCTGACTTTAACAAGCCGGTCTTTCTAACAATTCATTGGGATGGAAAAATTATTGAAGGGGATATGAAACAATTTTTTTTTTTTTTTTTTTATTATTCACCTCCCCAAGACCTGAGGGGGCCACTACAGTCGAGGATGCTATTTTTTTTTGTTGTTGAAAATTGTGGTACAACCCTTTCTCAACTCTTTAACTCCAAAACACGAACCTTGACAAGCAAGGCCGCTGCGCGGAGAAATTAAGTTGAGCGCGGTACTTCCAGGGACGTGGTGGGAGTCGAACTCCGAACCTCTCGCTTACAAAGCGAGCGCTCTTACCACTACACCACTACCGCATTAAATTAAAAATTAAAAAATTAAAAAATTAAAAATTAAAATTGGCAGTTTTAGTTGCAGGTGCACCAAATAATGTAAAAGTAAAGTTGCTGGGCATTCCAAAAATCATGAATGGGACAGGATTAGTTTAAGCAGAGACAAGCTTTGATCTCATTAAAGACTGGAAGTTGAACAAATTGATCATCGGCATGGTATTTGATACCACAGCTTCCAACTCAGGATGAAAAAATGGAGCTTCTGTCATTCTAGAAAAAAAGTTGAATTCTAAGCTGTTTTATTTACCATGTTGCCACCATATCTTTGAGATTATTTTGTCCTCTGTATGGAAACACCTGTTTGGCCCAACGACATGCCTGACCAATATAAAATTTCTAAAATTAAAGAACTATTGGGACACAATCCCTCAAAAGAATGACAATTTTAAATTGCTGGATGTAAATGAACGTTCGTTGAAATCCACAAAAGAAGATATGAATAATTTTCTTAAACTGTCCCTCCAAGAACATACATTTATAAGAGATGATTATAGGGAATGCATTTATGTCACGTTGTTACTCCTTGGTGAGAAAAATGTGAAAAAGGGAGAACAATAGCTTAAGCCAGGAGCTTTCCATCACACTAGATGGATGGCAAACATTCTATATGCAGCTAAAATGTATGCATTCAGTGAGTACTTAGGTTATGATAAAAATATGATTCGCTTTTGCCTATTTACAAGCTTATTCTATGTAAAAGTTTGGTTGACATCTTCAAATGCCATAGATGCTTTTATCAACAACCTACAGTTTTTGAAGAACATGCAAATGTTTAAAAAAATTTACCCAGAAGTAGCAGAAGCAACTTTGATAGCTCAAACAAGACACCTAAGGTACCTAAGTGAAGAAGTTGCACCCTTTGCCCTCCTTTCAGGATGTGACTACCCATGAAAAAAAGAAAATTGCTTCAACAATTCTGAAAAAAATAAACGATGAAAATATGGTAACTGAAGTGCCAGTAATGCCACAGATGAATCAAAACGTGAAAGTGAGCTCTCTAATTGGAAAAAACTCCAGGCTTCTTTTTGATCTTTTGAAAGTAAATACTAAGTGGCTTTCACTATCCCCTGATAAATGGTCAAAAAATTATGAATTTAACTACATATCTGATATATTAAAGGACCTAAAAGTTGTCAACAATTTAGCAGAAAAGTCAGTTAAACTAGTTACTGACTTTAATCAAAGTCTAACACGGGATGAAAATCAAAAGCAGTACCTTTTCCAAGTAGTGGAACAACATAGAAGGAACATACCAAAGTTTGATAAAGCATCAATGTTGATGAAAAAGTAGCACTTTTTTTAATAAATATGTATGTAAATGCATGAACATAGCTCTGTTGGACTTATTGGAACGTCAGTTACCAACATTTTCTTTTATAATGGAAATACATATTTTTACAATTTATACAGTTTTAATTTTATTATAATTTTTCTTTTGTAAATTTTATCTCGCTTTTTCAAGTCTAAATATGTTTTAGTGAATTTGAATCTAATATAGAAACATTTTAATTTAATATCTGTAACATTGTTTCCAATTGATTGGAAACAAAATTACAGATATTAAATTAAAATTATAGAAAATTTATAGAAAACTTTCATTTCCAATGGAAATTAAAGTTTTCTATAAATTTTGTTTTGTTACTCATTTCATAAACTAGTAAATACTTGAATCTCAAACATTTATTTTTTATTTTGCATAAAGGTCTAAATCAATTATATAATCAATTATATCATTGTGTTCTAGTAGCAATTTTTATGTTTAGATTCATAGTTGTAATCAATTAAAAGTATTAATTAATGTTCTGCATAATTATCTCAAATTCATGAATAAGATTAAACTTTAATAATTCATAACTTTAAAAGGCTGGTGGCAATGTCAAATCAGCAGGTATTGACCTGAAATTTGAATAATAGATATATCTTATCAAGTCAAATGGGAAAATTACCAGGGAGTTTGTTTTTTCAAAAAAATTTCTGAACACCCTATATATATATATATATATATATATATATATATATATATATATATATATATATATATATATATATATATATATATATATATATATATATATATATATATATATACTTTAACAGCACTTAACATTGTAAAGAATACTTTAACAGCACTTAACATTGTAAAGAAAACTTTAACAGCACTTAACATTGTAAAAAATACTTTAACAGCACTTAACATTGTAAAGAATACTTTAACAGCACTTAACATTGTAAAGAATACTTTAACAGCACTTAACATTGTAAAGAATACTTTAACAGCACTTAACATTGTAAAGAATACTTTAACAGCACTTAACATTGTAAAGAATACTTTAACAGCACTTAACATTGTAAAAAATACTTTAACAGCACTTAACATTGTAAAGAATACTTTAACAGCACTTAACATTGTAAAGAATACTTTAACAGCACTTAACATTGTAAAGAATACTTTAACAGCACTTAACATTGTAAAGAAAACTTTAACAGCACTTAACATTG